TACCAAGTAGTCCGGCCGTCCCGCACCATATAGGGCGAGTGGTACGTAAGGCTTCTCGGTGAATCTGAGTACTAGTAAGTCCTTAGGGATGACCAAGCTAGAATGTCTTCATCAGGGTTTCCATTTACCGTGCCACCACAGCACCTCCACCCTGGGCTCCTCCCATCACAGGATCACACCCAGGGCCACCTCACATACCATTTACCCATCACAGGTATCCATTCCAGGGGTGCCCAGGTAGCACCCCACGGCAAGACTTGCTCTAGGCTCATCGTATACTCCAACTTGGTCGACACAACCCTCACCCTCCACGCACCCAAGTCACACACGCAACACTCTCCCCATGGTCTAGATAACACCAGTTTCCCCACGCATCAATGTAGTGCAAGCGTAGTAGAAGTAATAAGCAATGAAATATAATAGCAAGCGTGTGACTAGCCTAACAGCAGGGTGAGCAGGGGTAAGGTTGCGTCAAGGTAAAGGCCATCAAGAAAGCATACTACCATGCAAGTCCTACCATAGTGTGATCATGACAATAAAGTAAGCACTAGCATTTCTATATTAGCCATGCGTAATAGGTGCTATGAGATTGGGTGGGATGTGGCACCTTCAGTGTAGTCATCTCCGTACTCCTCACGGTACTCACGATCCTCATCCGTTCGGTTCTCCTCCGAGTCTGCAAACGATCGTATTATAGTCGCGTTAGCGACGTCTATAGAATAGCACAAAGAAGCAATGAAAATTCAAAAGATCCAAATGCACTCAACACATGGATTCATTGCGTAGAGCTTGATTTTAGATGAATTTTGGTCCTAGTTTCGTATTTTTCTGAGGTCACATGAATTAGTTATGAATTTCCGAAGATTAAATCCATTTTTGAAAATGAAAAAGGCTGAAATAATCCTGGGCTGACACGTGTCATGCTATGACTGGTCCACGTGGCATGCTGACATCAGCCTGATGTCATCAGCTTGGCTCTGAGTTGACAGGTGGGGTCCAGTTGACGTCATCAACGTCATCCATTCCGACAGGTGGGGCCAGAGGCTCTTGGGTCACTAACATGTGGGTCCGGCCAAAGTCAACATCAAGTCAACGAGCGAGTCAACGGTCAGGGTCACTGACGCGTGGGGCCAGGGATGCTGACGTCAGCAGCTGATGTCATCATGATGTCAGCATGACGTCACCCCGGCTGCGTTGGCTTCTGCCATGTGGGTCCCGCGTGACGTCAGCATGATGTCACCATCTGACATGTGGGTCCAGCGGCTCTGTGTCGCTGGCATGTGGGGCCAGGTCAACGGTCAACGTTGACCAGTCAACGGTCAATACGGACCGGGTTCAAACTGGGCTTGGACAGGGCTGGATTTGGGCCGGGCTTGGCCCGCCACGGCATGCTATGGCGCTGCCACGTCACTGCCATGGGCTCCTACTGGGCTTCGTTTCCAGGCTGTGGGCGTGAACGTGGCTCACGGTGGACCAAGAGGCGCTGGTCTATGGACCTAAGGCAGGGTCCATGGTGGACCAAGTCCACCCTTTCCTCCTACTGGCTTAGCCTACGTGCACCGAGTTCATGCATGTGTGGCCGGCGAGGGGATTTTCCCATGCTTCCTTGCCGGCGTATTCCCGTCGGCGACGGGCTTACCGGCGAGCTTCCGCAGCGGCGCTAGCGCCCAATTGACGTGGGGAAAAGCACTGCTAGGCCTCGGCGACTGCGATGGTGGGGTCAGGGCGATGATTAGGGTTTCCTAGGTCTTTGTCCACGGCGATCGGTGGCTCGGCATGGCAGTGCTCGTCGGTGAGGCTTCTCGGGGCTGTTCTAGGGGTCCCGGTGCCCTGGTTCCTTTCATGCGGCTAGCGGGCGACGGGGTAAAGTGCCGACGGTGACCAAAGGGAGTGGCAGAGTCCGCGCGCGGTGGTGGTGCACGGCGGAGATCCGGCAGGGGTGCGGTGCTCGTGGCTAGGGTGCTATGGCTGTCTATCGACGACTCAGTCTACGCGGCTGTTCTCCAGACGTCACGGTGGTGCTACGACTACATCCTAGTCTGGCGAGGCGGCCAGGCGCGCAGGTGGTGGCCGTGCCATGACGGCGGCATTGTGAGCGCGGCGAGCGCGTGTTCTGTTACGGCATCCAGGGGCTAGGAGGTGCTCGTTGAGTCACGCGTGAGTGTGTCATGCGTGTGTACCCAGTGGCCGGAGATGGCCTTGGCCTATGCACTCACGGTGTGGAGCGCCATGGCCGAACAGCGAGGTCTGGTGGCGAGCAGGGGAAGGACCGGGGCTCACCTTTGGTGTCAAGGAAGACAGGATGGTGACGCAGTGGCGGGTTGCGGCCGTGTAGCTCCAGAAGCAGCGCAGTGCAGTGCAGTGTAGCGCAGCATCGCCCGCTCCGGCTCCGGCGAGCTTTTCCCCCTCCCCCCCCGTAGCGGCTTCGGCGCTTCCCCCCTCTTCTTCCTCTTCTCCCTCTTCTCTCTGGCTTGGGTGTGCAGTGGATGGCCACCAAGTGGCGGCGGGGCGATGGGAAAGCGCTAGGGCTTCCCAGGGCCGTGGCTTTTATAGCCGAGCTTCGAAGTCCCATGGCGGACGGCTGGTGATGCGCCGAGCGCATCGGGCGGTTCGCGTGTTGTGGCGTAGGCGTGGCGCATGGGTTGCGTGGGCGCGGCGCCAAGGAGACAGGGTCATGCTCCCTGCGTGACCCCTTGGCCCGCGTCTGTCACTTTGGTCGGTCCCCGGTCGCGCGGGGAGAGTGCGTGGGTGAGGTAGAAGACGCTACTGTGCTGGTGGGTGGCTGGCGTGCGGGGCCCGGGTGGCAGCGGCAACAAGGGAAGGCAGCAGGGCGCGCGGGCGTACGCGGCGTGCTGGGCCGGCTCGTGGGCCGTGTGCGCGCGCGCTGGGTGAAGGCGGGCGGGGTTGGGCTGGCTGGGCCGCCAAGCCGAGCAGGCCGAGGTGGCTTGCGAGGCCTACTTCCTTTCTCTTCTTTTTCTATTTTGTTTTTCTTCTTCTTTGTTTGAATTCAAATTTGGTTTGAAATTTGAATTCCAAATTGGTGCACCATATTCATTGGGGTTTTAGATATGAGGCCCACCATATTCTTTTATATATATTAGGAATTTATTTAGCTATTTTGTATAACGACATAGGTGTAGTTTGTTATATATAAAAATAGAATTAGTTTTCTCTTTTTACACAATTATCCTTTGGTTTGAATAATAATTACTTTATGGTGTGTTTCTTTAAAGGAGTTTTTAGGCATTACATAAAACGGATGAAAATCCAAATCACCATTTTAGTTAACAATGTATGCAACACTTTGTTTGTTGGAAATTAAATAAACATAACTATCAAATGACATGCCATGCTTATGTGTTGACTTGGGTTGGGGTTAGACCTAATGCATATCTTAGGTTGGGTTTCTATACATGACACTCATCATCACATGGGAGTTTTGAGAAAAATTTTGCAGTTGGTATTTTTGGTGTATGGATTTTTGGGTTGTTACACTCTCTCTTGGAGACCCATTTGCAGAAAGGGTTGTCTTTTGGGTCTTGTTGTTGGAGGAGACAAAAAAATAGGTATTGAACCCTTTGCCTGTAGCGCTACCTAAAGGACGAATGGGTCTTGTATTTTGGGTCGCTGTTGTTAGAGACAGTCTAATTAAGGTCCCGTTTGGCATGGCTCCACTTGACTAGTGTAGCCATTTTTTCAGCTTCAACAACACAAACAGCTCTCTCAACGGAGCTGCAACTGTTTTTATGGACTGTTTGGCGAAACAGCTCCTCCTTGTAGACAATATTAATGAAAAGAACAAAATACCCTCCTCCTCATCATCATCCTTCTCTCGGTCCTTCTCAACGCATTCGGCAGCGATGCCCGTGCCCGTGCGTGTCTAGCAGGCGACGGCAACTTCCTGCGCACCCCACAGCAGCGGCGTCTGCGCCCGAGCACCTTTGGCAGGTGGCGGCCGCGTCCCGCGCGCCTCGACGGCGGCACCCTTGTCCACCCCAACGCGTTTGGCAGGTGGCGTTCGCATCCCACGCACTCCCTGGCAATGGTGTCCGCTCCTACACTCTCGGGCGGCGGCGCCCTTGTCCGCACCAGCACCCACGAGCGTCCTGCGGCCGGATTCTACTCCCTCAGCGCCCGTTGCCGGTCTTCCCTGCGCGCCCCGATAGGCGCAGCCTAGCTTCCCCACGCACATGCCTCTTCTTCTCTATGCAGGAGCAAAACGGGTCTCTGTACTCGCTGAGCCCACTAAGGCGAGGTGGAGCTGGGTGAAGCCACTGTTTTCAGCTTCATCTCGCACCTATTCTCTGTCTCGGCAATTTTTAAGGGGCTCCTTGGGTGGAGCTATTTTGTTTTAACCCATTTAGCACAAAATGGCTCCAAATAGCTCCAGGAACCGGTGGTGGAGTTGTGCCAAACGGGACCTAAAGGCACCACTTTTCCTTGGGCGGTCTAGAAAAATTCCATGACTAATTGACGTTCACATCTTCACATTCGAGAAAAAGGAACTAATAGACATCAGAGGAAGATTGGACTATGGAGAGATATCAATTTATACATGACCACATATATTTACGAGCATAAATTTTGTCACCGCAGAGCATATGTGACGGTAGTGTTATTGCACTCCAGAAAATAGTTAGCACATGTTTGCCAAGTAAGAAACACTTGTATTGGACCCACATACATGGTTCCATACGTAGTACTGGATGTTGAAATCACACATACAACCATCAACATTTATTTATTTGTTCACAAATATAAGTAGAGCAACAATAACATTGATCACTCTACTCCACACATAACTGAAAAGTCAACACACCACACAACAGTGCAGCACACACCAAACCAAAGTTCACAATCACACCAGACAAGAGCACACCAATTGGCAGTAGCAAGCATGAGGGCATGTCTCATGCTGCTGTTACACAAGCTGAAGGGAATTCAGCTGTTGGACTGAATGCTCACTGGCCAAACAGAGCACATAGGCTGGTCCGTCTGCATTACACCATCTTTCCAACAGGAGCACATAGGCAGCAGTGATGGATGGATGGCTGGATCCCTCGAGGAAACCTGATCAAACAAACCAAAGCAAAGCAAACTGATGCAAACGAGACAGACCACAGGACCCAAGCGAAAGCATATGCATCCATGTTGTCATTTGCACGCGTGCACACACACACAAACCAATCAAGCGAATGCAGAAGCAGAACTGTGAGCAGGAGATTGAGGGCGAGACACCAGCTAGCAGGCTAGCCAGCGACTGTAATCCAACGAAGAGTCACCCAGGTTACCTCACCTGCAAGGGTTTGAGAGGAGAGCATCAGAGAGAAACGATAATATCCATCAATTTAGGTGAGCGAATCAACAAATTGAAGTGTCTTGCATGGCAGTCGCGATCGATGCACGTATATAAAAGGAATGCATAATTCATCACTAACCACTAAACCATTGGTCAGGAACTCAGGATCGTAGATACTACTGTAATTGTCTTGTATTATGATAAGCATATGTAAAAACATTGGAGTTTGATGGCAGAGATGGAGGGAAGGGAGTTCAATTGGTTGCTAAATAGACCTGGAAGACAGAATTCTAACATATATGTTCTAGAGCTGCATGATGGGAAAGAGGGAGGGACTACCTGAGCACACTGCCCCTGAGTAGGGTCTTCTTGTAATACCGTGGGTGGATGGGTCGGTAGTTGTCTGCCTGCGAGCGGTCATCCCACTCCAACCTTTCCCACCATTCCTTCTCGCAGTCGCACTCCACTACCTTGTTGCTGCTGCCAATGTCAGGAAGGCGCGTGAGGCTCCAACAGCCCCTGATATTGACGGTCTCAAGATTAGGTGCAGACATTTTGACCCCACAAATATGCTGTAGCGAAGGGAGCTCATGCAGGTGGATACGCTTCAGCTTGGGGAAGTCTTTCAAATCTGGCTTCTCTCTTTTGAAAGGAAATATCTCCCTGAGATCACCGCACCATGCAATCTCAAGGGTCTCCAGGAGGCACAAGCTGTCCTTATCATTAGGAAACCAGTTCCATGTCAAAGGGAGTGCGTGTATAAGCCTAGGGCAGAAGTCCAGGTGCAGCAAAGTCAGGTGCGGAAATATACGGTTTCCATTGGATGTTGAGATATAGCGTGACTCTAGGAGTTGGGATGCCCAGAATATTCTCAACTGATAAGTAAAGTCAAAACGGCCTTGAACATTATCAAAGACAAAGTCCAATTTGGGGCACCTCTCGATTCTGCACCACTCTAGGTCAGGCCATTCTGAACTATATTCATCATCTGAAGTGATACTGGTGATGGACAGACTATCGTGCACATGCAGGATCTTAGCACACTTTCTTATAAACCAAGGGACAGCAACAGTTTGAGTCCCTTCCCCACCTTGTAGTGATTTTGTCCTCATTTGGTCTTGTACGTGTATGTAGCACCTCTTTTCAGGAGAGGCCCCCCAAAAAAAAAAAAAGGACATCTTTTCAGGAAGATCAGGAACATCCGGGCAAGGCCACATCCACATGATTCCCAGAGTATCAGCACCGCCTTCACTAGCTTGTTGTACGCGGTCCACGGAGATCTCTGTGTATACTGTAGGCGCAGGCTGCCGCTGCAGGTTTGCCAGCAATTGCTGCTCACGACTGCCTGCGCTCTTGAATATTCCTTCATCTTTGCCACCACCACCAACAGCGGTAGGATGAGGAGAGGAAATCTCCACATATGCCTTGCGGGAATAGGAGAGCAAATCTCCACCAACAGCGGTAGAATAGACTGGCTTCAGGGACGCAAGGAGCCTTGCATCCCGTACAGAAATGTGCCAGTCAAATTCACTGCTCGGCCGACTGCCATGTGGTGCAGCTGCAGGTGCTACTGATGTTCCAGTAGTAGCAGTACTAGTACCCCGCTTGGCCTTTTCTTCTCTAGATTGGGCGGTGGGTGCTGACAGCGTGGTGTCAATGCACAGCTTACCCAAGCCTCCATGTTTCATTTTCTCTTTCGGTGGCCACAGGATTGCACAAAGCTTCTCACAGTGAAGTAGATAGAGCTCATCAAGGTGCGGGATTACTGTTGTACTGAGGTCTAGTGTTTTCACTGCCGTGCCTGAGATGTCTAGGGTGTGGAGACTCCGCATCCGTCCTCCCAAGTGCAGATTCTTCAGCTCAGTACATCCGCGGAAGGAGATCTTTTCAACCTCTCCACATCCATCAACAATGATGACAGTCTCGAGGCACCAAACGTTGCTGCTGCTTACCCCTGGCCCAAATAAGCTCGTCATGGGACTGGAACCACCAGTCGAATAGTTTCCTGAAAAGTCAAGATGCTCCATCTTGTTCATCTCCGAGAACAGATCATTTTCTGGGCAACTGCATGTGACATCAGATTTTTTCACTCGGAGCTTGCAGATGTTAGGCAATTGTCCCTGTAGCTGGCCCATGTCCCATCCTTTGGCTCCGATCACATTTAGCTCCCTGAGCTGGGTCATGAGACCCAACATCTGCGCACACAATATCTGATCACAGTCTGTGTAGCGCACGTCGAGCACCCACAGCCTCTGAAAGCACCGGCGAATGTCTTCCTCCTTCCCTGCTCCATCTGTGCTGGTCTTGTTGGTGCCTTGACAATGGTCAAGCCATAGAAACCTGAGGGCGTAGCAGCAGAGGAATGGAGGTGATTGGAAGTTGAAGGTGCAGCGTGAGAGCTTGAGAACACAAAGCTTGTCAGCGCTGTGTTGGAACATGTCTCCGTTAGGCATAGCTCTGGTTGGAATCAGAATTAATCCGTAAGTTGGCGAAGTCCAATATGGCTTGGTCCGGATTTGCCACTGCCCTAGCAACTGAGAGGAGGGCACATATTGATGGGAGTCCATATCCAATCGAATCTCACGATGCAGAGCTTCAGCTGCTCTCCACAAACCATCTCCCTGTTGTCGATGTCGTATGATGTCATCACAGACCCAGTAGTTGGCACCGTGGGTGTCCAAATCATAGTCAATCAACTGACCACCACTGCAACACAGGTCCCACATGTACAGGAAGCACTCGGTCACTTGTTCAGGCTGATTGATGATGCCGCGAGACCTAGTATTGAACTTGCATGCTGCAGCTACTTCCGCAGTCTCTTGGAGTACAAGGTAGGTCCAGAGCTCCTCTTTGATTTTATCTTGTGGGTATGCCAAGAGAAAAACATCAGTTGTTCCTGCGGTCTTCATGGCCGTATCAACTTTCCTCCGAGGTTTGAGCCGGAATCTCCCTTGGAATGTCCACAGCACCTTGCTGGTTGAAAATCCGTATAGAGGGAAGCCACAGCAACTGGCCAGATCGATCTCCTCACTGCTCCCATTGTGGAAAATCACCAAGAATCTGCGGTTCAGCTTCTGTATGTGTTGCTGCATTTCCCTGATGACTTGTTGTACCTCAGCACGGGATCCCTGGGCCACCCCACGGAAATCGTCCTTCTCGTCCTCCCTGTCGAACAACTCCATCACTTCACTGGGGAGCCTCAGTTCCTCTGCGACCGCCCTCTGAAGCGCTCTCCTGCTCTGCCACATCGAGCAGTCGATGTGGATGACCTGATCAAACTCCAGTTCGGCCAGGGCTCTCTTCCCATCTGCTGAAGTTGTGGCGAGGCGTTGGGCGATGGCTCGGAGGACGGCGGACGCTCCCAGCCCGTCCCAGCCATCGAAGTAGAAGACATTGTCTCTGCTACCGACGGTGCTGGTAGTATTAGTCTTTTCCTTCAGCGCTTGGAGTATTTCTTCAGCGGCCTTGTCTATCGTGTCAGCCCAAATTTCCTGCATACATATGCACATATGCATCAGGCCGTTGCGGATTAAGATGGAGCAAAAACCAGAGGGGAGATCTTGCTTGCTGCAACCTGGGTGGATTACCTGAGTACGCATGATGGATTGGATTGAGGTAATTAACCGGCCACGCCGGTCAGTTCGCCTTGGAGGATTATTTGTGCGTTCGGTGTACCACTACTATATCTTCAGCGATTAATAATGCTGCTGCAACCTCCGCTTCATTTTGGAAGGGAATGGTCCATGCGCAGAGCTGCCAATGTCCAGCAGACCGATTCCATTTGGATTACAATATGGAATCTAACCCATCGCGATCATTCCATCCGCTGACCTGATCAACACACAAACATGAAACTATTCACTCAATCCTGAAATATAGGAGATCTTCAGTTTTTTCTATATCAAATTATCTTAAGTTTATTTGACCAAGTTTGCAGAGTAAAATCTCAACTTCTATTACATCAAAAAGGTAAGTTACGAAAATACATTTCATAATGTGTCAAAGAAAGCTTATTTGGTGTCATAAATATTATTCTTCTTTTTTCTAGATTTTTTTGTGAAATTTATGACAACTTGAGTTAGAACAACCAAAAAATACATCATATTTCTGGACAGATGGGGTATTTAAGAACATATAAATTATCCATGTATATGTAGCGTCTCATGCATCATAAATTTTATGCTATACGTATGATATATCCACTTCTCCAAATTAGTTGATTTCCATGATGCGCAAGAGCTACATGTAGCAGAGCAGCAACAGACGATGAACTTGAGTAGCAGGACATATATAAATATTTTCTTGTCGAATACGTAGCAGGAGATATGTAGAAAGACAAACGGATCGAACCAAAGATTGCATGTAATTTCAAACTAGTGGTTCTTCCCATGATTATGAGCATGTTACATACATATACATTGCAGATGGACTTGAATTTGCAATGGAAGCGATCCAATAATTAAATTACATACCTCGTTTATGTTGAATTGGCATGTAGTAGCAGGATAGAAAGCCAAACAGATGGAACCGACGATTGAGCAGAGTGTTGTGCTTGTGTGCGTGTATGAGGGAGAGTCCAGAGAGAAGCAATGTAGCTGGTGGTAGTCCACAGAAACTTTGCTTTTTAGGCAAATGTTCAGATAAACTTTTCTTTTGTGTGTCTGTATGCTCATCAGAGATGATTCTTTGCTTATTGGGTGAGACAAAAGAAAACAAAAGACGATTCTTTGCTTGGAACCAGCTAACCGGCCGCTGCAGATTTTTCAAAAGATAAAGTTAATAAAGACATGCTAGTAATAAGTAGCACGCAAGGGCTCCTCTGTTCCTCGTTATCTGCCTGATCTGGTCCTACAGTAGAGTAGAGGGTAATTGAGTACACTATCCTTTTCTTTTGCTGCCTTGTGAGGGGCTCAAAGTGAGCAAAGTTAGGGAATCCAATGTCTCAGAAAACTTGATGTTTTAGCTTTTGGATAATATATAGGTTAGATTCATATCAACTTGAGATTGTGATCTGCATGTTTCCATATATTTCTTTTAATGAAAGGTATTTTTCTTAAAAGTTCTGCTGAGTATTAATCTATCTTAAAAATTTGAAAATATAAAATTTTCAGACGAAGGGAGTACTACTTGCTAGATGTAGAATCCGAGCTGCTGCTGTCAACCGGTGTTTCCTTTAACACTGGTCTATTATTAATTAAAGAATGTTTGGAAGGCTCCATGCTAAATCTCACAAAATAAATCAAATAAAAAATGAATTTTAGAAAACTACCATTAGTATTTGGCCAACAAAATAAGATTCCATAATAAATCTCAAGGTCTAGAAACTACCAGTTTAATCAAAGAAAGTAAAATAAAAATCTCCATTATACTACTTCTTGGAAAAGACCAAATGGACCACTATAGCTTCACTTGTGCTCCTTATTCATTTGGTTATTTATTAGTTTGCGCCATCTCTTCCGGTTATACTTCATATATGTCTTCGTTTTTTCAGTTTGTGATGTATATACTTTACGGTGCATGTATGCATAATAATAAGTCATATCTATATTCTTTATATTCTACATTCTATATTTCTATATCCACATCTATGTACTCTAATAAAGCTAATAATGTCCACTATATACGGCGCATAAGGAGGTGGGCAGTAGAAGGCTTTGTTAAGGTGACCTGCACGGCAAGGCACAGGCGGTCATGCAGAGCAATTGGTTGTTGGCCGTAGGAAGAGTCGCTTGATATTGTTGCTTTGTGATGATCAGAGGTAGTTGGTCATGTTTTTAGATTGGCAGCTTGCAGCAGACTATGGCAGCTAGCCCTGCAGCGCAGGTCTAGTTCAGTGTTGGACAACGTCGATTGGTGGCGCTAGCAGATCCGACGATTGTGACAACTACTTGGTTTGCAGTGGACTACGGGGCCAACCGTACATTGCAAGGGTTAGATTGATGTGGGACATTGTCGGTGACAATGACACAAGCGAGGGCGATGGTGTGTCCGCTAGACTGCTCTGTCTTTCAGGTGATGTTGTTGCAACGTGGCAATCGGCTTGCGGTGGTATGGTGCTTGTGGAGGCACAATGGTTGTACAGCCGTTTTGATATCAGTTGTAGAGTGATGGTTGGTGCAGCGGTTTGGTGTTGTAACGAGGTGGTGTGGGTTGAGGTCCCAATCCAACCAACGGTTGTTTTTTAGTCGGTCTATCTTTTTATTGTGGTTGTCTGACCCTTTTAGAGAGGTTGTTTGCTATGTTGTTTTGCCTAGTGCGAGTTTCTCTTTTTTTTAATATAATTGGTAGCTTTGCTGTTTTGATTCTTTTTTTTTTAAAAAAGAAACTTCCATAGATGCATAGTATTCTTACAGGTAGAGGTACGTACGTACGAAGTCGGCTGCAGGTGGCATTCAGTTGAACACAAATATGTCGTTTCTGTGCTTAACAATCAGCAGATCAGAGGTTTATGTGCTTTCGGTAGTCGAAAATACATAGGTCATGAAAGAGAAGCTTCACTGGCCTTGGGCTATGCTATTGATTTGTCGTCACATTCTTCTTCTATTCCTTAAAATAGCTCCTTATCCCCATTTCCAGGATAACGACCTACTCTAGCATCTCTCGGCATGAAATATACACGGCAGGAACATGAGGGCCATGTCGTGTTTTAAAATCATGACAAGATGAACGGCATGACAATGAAATGCTGAGCTTCTTGCATGACCAGAGATTCTATGTCACGGTCAGCTCTTTATTATCACTAGCAAACATGCCCGTGCGTTGCAACGGGAGAAAAAAACCATCAAATATTCATGAAAAACAGTGATTGGAATGATACATATCTATTTATGTTTGCACAAAATTTTAAAGCTATAATTTATTTTAAGATGAGTATTACATCTATAATATAAGTTAATATTGTCAATAATATGACATTGTCCTATTAATTCAATATCAAATTTAAAATATTTTTTGGATATATTTTTCTGCCATTACAAAGCATAGAAATATTTACTTGTAAATATATCATAATTTTAATTTCTTAATATACATATGTTGGTACAGTTAAATATGAGTTCCACGACTTCCTTTGTAGACCCACGACTTCCTTTGTACACCCTATTGATGAAGAGAGAAGTGATAAAAGTTTCATGGGAGTAGAGAGAGTTTTATGAGAATGAAACTCTTCCGTAATGTTTTTCCAAAATATGGATGTGTTGGAAACTAGGACATGAAACCCTAACTGAGACGGGCCTTAGACACGAGTTGTTCTAACTCATATGAATACAGATCGTGGTTCTGGGTCACATACGTGACATAGAAGGTGTAAGGGTAAGGTAGGGGTGTCTTATCGGATTTGGATTAGTTTACATATGGAGATGGACCCGAGGTGAGTTTCTAGAAGGAACGGAAGAAGAAAATTTTTAATATTATGTATGTAAATATAGGTACATAGATATATATTAAACTGGATGACAAACTGCTTAAGATTAGTTAGACTATTGGTGTAGGTACATAGATATAGATTAAACTGGATGACAAACTGCTTAAGATTAGTTAGACTATTGGTTGATCAGGTTCTCATAGTAATAAGATTTTTCCTAACCAAAATTATATTATAATAACTTAGCGACTGAAATATTTATTCATTTGAGAAGAATAATGAGTTCAAATACCCGTAATACAATATTTATTACTTATTTACTCTATTTATAAGAAGAAACGGAAGAAAAAAAAAGAAGACACAAAAAAGTCACGGAACTAACAAGGAAAAGGAAAATAGAAAAAAAGGAATTGGGAAAGAACTGAGAAGAATAAAGAGTTCAAATACCCATAATACAATAGTTATTATTTATTTATTCTATTTATAAGAAGAAACGGGAGGAAAAAAAGAAGACAAAAAAGTTACGTAACTAACAGGAAAAAAGGAAATAGGAATAGAAAATAGAAAAACAAAAGGAATTGGGAAAGGACACGGACAGGCACAACGTTTTTCACATAAGAAACGGAAGTTTCCATCCGATGGCAATACGGAAAAATAGCAGCGGGAGATTCCGGAGTGTGTGGTTGGATGGAAAAAAATTTTGGTGATAGAAATTTTACCTCTTTAGTAGTATGGGTATAGATAACATAAAACTACTAGGTGACTTTTTATGTTGTGCCAAAATAGCCAATTGCCTAGTAGTCTTGGCCAGAAGCGGCACAAGGCACATGAGGGCCAGAGAAGTGGTATTCACTATAAAGAAAAGAATCATCTTGTAAGGATAATGTAGCTCCCGCTTGCGCATGTTAGGTGTCGTGCTTTTAGTGGTAGACGACGTTTTCGTCGACAGCGAGGCATTGACTTCGTCAACCTCGATGATATGTCAGCCTAGTCTTCAAATATGCTCATATGGGTACGGTTCGCGTGCGTGCGTTCATACATAAGCGTGAGTGTGCGTGCGTTAGGAGTGTCTAAGTTGTTCTGTGTAATTGCCGAAAAAAGTCTAGCCATCTAGGGTTACTAAGATCATTATGTTGTATCCTTTTTTTATTTTAGTTTAATATGTGCTCAGACAGGCTCTCAAAAAACTGTTGAGAAAGAGAGGAGGCCAAGGGGTCAATCCTGCTTTTATTTCCA